AATTAATAACAATTAGAATTAAATAAAGATTTACAAATTAACAAATCAGACTTTGATTAACATTTAAAAAATTTAAATTAGGAAAATAAAGTACATATCAAATAATATCATAGTAATAATAATAAATAAAATAAATAAATTATTTTTTTTCATACAAATTTTGATAATTATGAAGTTGAATATGTTTATCTTCAACTTTAAAAGTCATACAGGTTTGATTTTTATCGTTAAATGAGGATCTTATCACTGATACAGAGTTCAAAGATTTGTCTCCAATTCTATTTCTACTCTTTGTTTTAACATGGTTTATAATAGAGAACACTCTCTCAGCTTCTGCGTTCGAATGTGGTAAAGCTAGAACTAATTTAGCAAGTGTGCTTATGTTAGTAAATATTGGTGTTTCACTGGTAAAGTTTTTAATCATTGATAATTCATGCCACATTTCTGGAATACTTAAACTTTTTAAACGTTCAATTTCTTGTGCATTAAATTGACAAGGAAGTTGTCGCCATTCTTCAGTAATTTTATTTGTATCAATATATTTTTTGAATTTCAATTTTAAAGCAGGAAGATCCTTAAATTGTTGCCGAGTTTCCAATTCCAAGTCTAAAGCGATATTAGGAGCTATAAACTTTATTTCTTTGTACATTGGATTATCAAAAGGTAGTCGTTTTACCATTTCTTCAGATGCAGTTACAAAAAAATTTAAACATTTCTCTTTGAATATAATAATTTGATCTTCATTTTGCTCTAACAGTAGTGATTCGCATTCTGTTCCTACAAACACTTCAGATAATGGAATTATATTTTCTTTATTTTTAAAATCAATCATGAAAATATTTTCTGTAATGAATTTAGGTTTAATAAAGTTTTGACAAATAGATTTTAATAAATTTAATGACAAATCAAATAGTTGATGAATTATTACTTTGCGACTTTGAAATAATGCATTGAAAGTATTAAAGTAATCTAATGAAAACTTTAAAAACAGTAAGTAACACTTGGTAAAAGGATTTTGTAGTTCTGTATAAATATATTCAGCAGATTTTAATTTGTCTTCATAAATAGCAATTCTAAAATACTGTGTAAGACTATCCCAACACTCTAACAACCTAACGACACATTGATGCATCGCTAGCCATCGAGTATCAGCAAGTTTTAAAATTTTTTTTCTTTGTCCATCAAAATAATCTTGAACTTCATTTAATTGGGCACATCGTTTTGCACTACCAGAAACATAAGAAGCTACTGATCTTATTAGTTGTTCAGCAGACCGTGGTAATTGTGCTGTAGCTTTGCTGGCTATAATAGCTGAGGAATGACATATAAAACGCATAGTAATCACATTAGGCGAATCGTCAGTAATATGTGTCATGAATGAGTTGTGTTTTCCAACCATTACACTTGCTCCATCACATGCAACACCAATGATATTGTCCAAAGGAATATGCTTTTTTATCAATACTTCTTTAAATTCACTATAAATGCTCTTAGCTGAACAATCCCTAGCATCTATACTAACAAGTTCAAGTAATTTAGTATGTATAGTACCATCATTTGGATGTACAAATCTTACTAACAAACATAAAAACTTTTGACTTGAAATATCAGTGCTCTCGTCTACAAGTACTGAGAATGGGTTCTTTAATATAATATCCGTAATATCAGATGTTTCGACAGGTGCTATTATTTTGTTTATAATACTGGTACATTTAGTGCGATGTAATTCCAACTTAGAGCAAATTTTAGAATCAGGAAATATCTCTTTTAGGAGTGGAGTTAAATGATCAATAATATGAAATGCTAAATTGTGTTCGGCGAAGAAAGCCGCAATTTTTATTTCAGCCATTTTAACTTCGTTATTTTTAATTTTTGGTTCTTATATATCACTAAACATTGTTAATATTTTAGAAGTACCTTTGAGTCCTTTGCAGTTGATGATGTGTTTCTTTCCATTTCTATGTTTATCCAACTCACTTTTGCCACTTGTCAAAATAACATTGCATACAACACACTTCGCCTTTAAAGGATCTTTTGGAACTTCTTCCAACCAATGCTTGAACTCATCCTTCGTCAACCATTCCTGACGAAATAGTTTTCTGTTTGTCCTTTGTTTTTCAATTTTCGACAACTCATTTCGAATGGCGCGAGTTTTTTTTGGTGTCGATGGTCCTCCATCTGAATCACTCATTTGGCTCTATTGGTGAGTACTTATTTATCTTATACCATAGAGTAGTACTACTCTATGTCTTATACCCACGGTTACGAATTAATATTAATATTAATCGTGATTCCTAATATTAGTAATATTAATATTAATCACTAATCCGGACTAATCAGTTCCCACTGCCCAGTGCCCACAGTCTTGAAATTGAAATATATTTATTTATTATCAATAGACAATAATTATTATCAACTGATTATTTAATTAGGCGTGTTTTGGCGGTGTAACCGGCGCTAACCGCTAGTTAACTGTTTACTGATATCGTTTTCGCGATTACGGTTACTGTAACCGGGTAACTAATTTCGTGAACGAGTTTAGTGAATTTTGTAACCGTCGATTTCGACCTGGTAAGAGGGTTTACTGAGATTTGGTTACTAAAAAGTTTATGATAAAAACGTGATAACAATAAAATATTAATTTAATAAATTTACTTTAAGTAATTTTACATAATTCAAACCAATAGTAGATTTGCCTATATAATACACAAGTACATTTTAATAATTTTAATTATGGAAAGTACTAATTACGATTTCATTGATTTTATCAGAGACGAACAGGAAACTTGTTGTAGGAAATTAAGTAAATTATAAAAAGTGTCTTGGGTCATCCTATAGTTAACATGGAAATCATGAGCACTATACTTAATGATCCAGTCTTCAATATCAGCTTTTGGACGAAAATGCTCATTCCGAATTACTGTACTTAATAAAGTTAATTTTTTAAAATTACATTTAGGTTTCGTCATTACTATATTGCTAGTAACAATATCATCAGACTCTACAATGTCGTTCATCATCATTAAAATCAGGGACAACTTC